CTTCCATTACTTTAAGTTCTATTTTCAGAGTTCTAGGGGACATTTTAGGTGATTTGAGGGTCCCTTTTCTCATGATGTGTTAGAGCCAGCATGAAGGATGAAAACAAAACTCACGTAGGTCCAGTCTTGAATGAATCACCAGAGATATTTTGCCACAGTCACCTTACGTGGTCTGTACTCTGAAAGTTATTTTGTATCATTGAAGTTATTATAATATAACCCACATTTGTGGTGACTGTCACCGATTGTGATGATCTTAAAATGATGGCTGTAACTGTAGGTTATCTTGTGACAATCTTAAAGACTCTTGAAATGACTTGTGGTGGCAATCTTCATTCTCATGGGCATCTGGGTAGGATGGGAGTGTTGCCACCAGAGGTATTTGTATGATAGCCAAAAGCAATATTTGGCAATAGTACCAAATGATTGATCATTACAGAATCCATGGGATGAAACCATATATACTACATGTCTTACTGAGCTGACTTCCCTGCAAGTAGGAGGGATTCACCTGTAGGTGAATAAAAATCTGTTCTTGTTCAGCTCTGATAGTGTCTTTGTTCTCTGACGTATTTTGTTAATGTTACATCAAATAGGAAAGGTCTGTCTACTTTACAAACAGAAGCAAAACCATCATACAATTATTCTCATTTAGCAATTATTGAGCATTAATTGAAAGTTGGCATGCTGGAAAACTCACTTCCTGGGGGAGAACTATTATTTAGAGCACCACAGATACTGTGTAATGTACATAACATATTTCAAACAGCAATTTATTAAAAATTACAATGTTTTCCCTAGAGAATGGATTAGCTATTCACCATTAGGACCAGGTCTAATATTTATGAAATGTTCACAAATGATTCATTATGTTTCATTTACAAATAGACTCTAATGGGAGACATTTTTATTTGAAGTGCTATTTTAATGAATTGTCTGTTTTTATGAATTCATGTCCAAGACTGAAATAATTCCTTTTTGCTCCCTTTCCTTGACCTTACACTTGAGCCTGCCGCTGCTTATCTGTGTTTCCTATTTCTTCTATTCAGATCATGTGATCCTTCCCTCCGTAGCCTGAACTAGAAAACCTTGGACATATTTGTGACTCTCCCTCTCCCTCACACCCCGTTTCCAATCAGTCACCATGTTTAAGTGGTTCCTTGTTGCCTATCAAATAAAAGGAGTCAGCTCTTCTTAATCTGAAGATACATTCACAGCCTGGGAACCATAATGTTCCAGTTTTCCATTCTCCACCAAGCAGACTATCCTAGCCCCCACTATGAGATGCCTTTCCCTCCCTTTTTCCCTTCAAAAGCCAGCTCAAGTGTTGTCTCCTTCCTTTAACTTTCCAGATATTTTTACTCCCTCTCCCTAGACAGAATCAGTAACTCCCTCATTTATTCTTTTATAGACGTGTATGCATACTTCTCAGTTGTCTTTACTTATCTATACATTTAGCTTATACATAAGACTGTAAGGTTTTTGAAATCTCACTGTTTTATTTTTGCATCTTCTATGTATACCATGTTTACTTAGCACATAATAAGGCCTTAATGAAGCTTGCTTGGCTGAGTTGAAAATTCTATTAAAAGAAAAAACAAAACGAAGTTATGACTCAGCCGATATTTCATGTGAATACCACTGTGCGATTGGTAATGGAGATAAAGTAGATGTAGGTGAAGAAGAAAGTCTGAGAGCAGTTCACTTAGTGTTCCAAATAGAATAGTTACAGAGACAGCAGCTTAGAGCAGAAAGGTAAATCAGAGACTACCTTCATCCAAATAACTTACTTTCATTACATTATTCTCTCTCTTCACCCTGCTGCTTGCCATTTTCTATGCCAGTTTCCTAGAAAAGCACTTTATAGTCCCTAGACCATAGTAGACACAAAATAAATATATATTGTATCAATGAAAGAACAAATGAAACAATTCCCTCTCTTTCATTTTACAGATAAGAAAACAGACTCAGAGATACAAAGAAGAGGAAAGCTGAAACCATCCCTTCTCCAAGCTGCCACTATATTATCTACATTGAACTAAGTGCTTTTACTTCATTTATGCAACTTTATCCTCTCAGGAAAATTATACAACTATTATGTTACATAAAGAACTTACATGAAGTTTAAAACCTGTGCCCTGTGATCATACCATGATGCTATTTTTTTATGCAGTGTTTATTGTATAGTATTTCCTCTGCCACTTGCTGGCATGGTATTCATGGACAGTAATAGGACTGATGATTGGTTTGATGCTCAGAAAATCTCTGCTTTCCTTATCTGTGTTTTTTAGATGGAAGCAAATGACTAAATACAGGAAGCTATGATCTAGTGGCAAGATTATTAGACTTGAAGGCTGAAAATCAGAGCTCAGCTCCTAATCTTGTGATCTTATCTTGAACAAATCCTTTATCGTCTTGGAAACTCAGGTTTCTCATTTATAAAGCATAGTACATACTACCAATTTTGTAGAGTTATCTGATGAACAGATGAATGAATAATGACTATGAAAATATAGTTTGTCCACATACAATTAAGGTATTCTTTTTATTAAGCTGATGTAAGAATGAGGAAATGTGTATAAAAAGGTTTCCTCGGCTATACATTTACGTTCTTGTATTCTCTTTGTTACTGTTTTGCAATTTCAGTGTACCACAGCCTGAATTTGCGTAAACAGATAATAGCAGAATAAATAAGCACTTCCTCACTAATATGACTTCCATGCAATATAGCATATTTAAATGAAATTCTGCTAATTCTTTTGAATACAATTGAACAGTAATAGAGAAATAATAGTTAAAAAGATATTTATTCTTGTCATGAGCTTCCATTCTCATAAGAAAATCAAAACAATCCAAGAAAAGAGACAATATGAAAATTAACATCATTACACAGACAGTAGTAACTCTGATGAGAAAAGAAGCCATTGGCAGCTTGTTTTAGCAGTAATTGAAAATGTGACTTTTCAAATGTTCTGTATTAGCTGCAGCTCTAAATGCATACATTTACAAATGAATCTGATAAAAATATAATTTGCGTTTCTCAGTTACATAAATCATGTCTTTTATCTCAAGCAAGGTACAGAATGTGTCATTTGTTTCTTGTTGATGACTTCATCTCTGCTCTTTAATGTCAATATTACCCCATGACCCAGTATCAACATTTGTTATGTTCATTGCTTTCCATTTTTAATAAAATGTTTTTCTAAAACAAAAACAAACCAAAGTAAGAGAAATTATGATGTATTTTTCAGTATAGCTCTAAAAATCTCTGAATACAGTAGAGAGCCCTGGGGTACTGGGTATGAATAAAACCTTAGAAGTGATCTAGTTCTGACCCTCATCTTAGTGTTCAGAAAATGAAGCTATAAGTGGCTGAAAAGAAGATATACCAGTTTTCAGAGAACAAAAACAAGGAAAGAGCTCCAGGCTATCTTTGAGCGTTCTTCTTACTATACTAAATCAGAAAATAATCAATTTTAACACATATAATTTAATTCTCATTTATCCAAATGATATCAGGAAAAAAGGAAGCTTTGCTGAAAATTTTTATGTTAACTCTTCAGATGTGGATACTGATGGGCTGATGATATGTATCTTGGAGAAAACTAAATAAATTGGATGATAGGAGATCTCAATAGCCTGGAACAATTGGCTATATCTAACAAAAGAGAATATAACAGCGATAGACACAAAGTCAGCACTTACAGTACAAAAACTAATGGTAAAAGTACATGAAGTGGGACATATGGTTTAACAGCAGAACATAATTTTTTTCAGTAGTGGCTGTTTTTAAAGAACTAAAAGTTATATAAATTTACTCTTGTACTTTTTCCCAAATCAACTCAATTCCACTTAACATAATAGAAGTATATACAGAACAACAAAGGGGTTAATCTGGTCTACTCTCTCCTCCTGGATTCTCAATATAGATACAGACACTGACAAATGTCAGTGTAGATCATGGAGAGGAAAGACCAGAGTGTTAAGTGACTCAGACCCAAGTCCTTTGGGAAAGGTAAAAGGAATTGGATCTGTCTCTCTGGAAAACAGAACTACATTTGTTGTATGGGAAAATTGGGCATGAGAGGAACATGTATTTTGTAATAAAGAAGGCTAATTGATTGAATGGAAATAATTTAAGGTACAGAGGGCATGAATTTGAGTATTGGCACCATTGTTAGTCAGTGCTGTGACCCTGAGAAAAATCTCTAAGAAACTGCATCTCAGGTTCTTGAGGTGCAATATGAGAACAGGAATATCTACATTACAAGAGTCTTGTGAAAACTAAATTAAACGACATATGTAAAATGTCTACAGTACAGGGAATGCATTTAATAGCCAACCAAGGTCTGGGCATGGTGGCTCATGCCTGTAATCCCAGAACTTTGGGAGGCTGAGGTGGGCAGATCACCTAAAGTCAGAATTTAAGACCATCCTGGCCAACATAGTAAAACCATCCTGGCCAACATGGTAAAAATTAGTCTCAACTAAAAATAATAAAATAAAATAGAATAAAACAAAATAGCTGGATGTGGTGGCAGGTGCCTGCAATCCCAGTTTCTCAGGAAGCAGAGGCAAGAGAATTGCTTGAACCTGGGAGGCAGAAGTTGCAGTGAACTGAGATTGTTCACTATACTCCAGCCTGGGTAACAGAGAGAGATTCCATCTTTCTCTCTCTATATATATATATACAGAGAGAGTCAACCAACATTGACCTTTCCAACCAGTTCTCAGGTAGAGTCATTAGTGATTTTTATTAGATTTTATTAGATAAGTGTCTTGTAGAAGGATTATATAAGCAGGTATGAGAAGGTTAGGCATCTGAGATCCTTGCCAATGCAGCAAGATATATTTATATGTTGACCAAAAACATTTTATTGTACTTTATTCTAATAAGGATTATTATTTAAAATAGTGGATGCCTTACAAGTTATATTGCCTTATAAAACTACAAGAAACTTTCACTAGTATATGTAATAAAATGGTGCTTATTTACTTACCTATAAAGTGCAGAAAGGGGCCTCTTGTTTCCAGGTTTTGGTCTGTATGGTTTGGGCTCTCCTGCCATGTTGATATCTGAAAGCATAAAATAAAACAGCACTGATTAAGAAAATATAAAACCACTTGAGAAAAGTAAATCATACACTTTTATTTTTCTTTTTGTTATTTGTTTATGCAAATATTGCCACCATTAATTCATTCAACATATATTTATGGAGCATTTACTCTATGCCAGGCACTGTTTGGGATATGTCATGTACAAAACAGATTATGTCTCTGCCCTTGTGGAACTTATATTCTACTGGGGGAGAAAAGTAAGAAACAAACATAATCAATAACAAATATATATCCATATTAGAAAACGATGAGTACTATAAACAGCCAAAACGTTGAGTACAGTGAGGAGAATCAAGAATGCTTCCCTCCGCCCCTAAAAGACAGGGTCTTGCTCTGTTGCCCAGGCTGGAATGCAATGGTGCAATCACTACTCACTGCAACCTTGAACTCCTGGTCTCAAACAATCCTCCTTCCTCTACCTCTGAAGTAGCTAGGACTACAGGCATGTGCCACTATGCCTGGCTAATTTTTTAAATTTTCTGTAGAGATGAGGTATGGCTAGGAGGCCCAGGATGTCTCAAATTCTGGCCACAAGCAATTCTCCTGCCTTAGCCTCCCAAAGTGTTGAGATTACAGGTGTGAGCCACTGCGACCGGCCAGAAATGCTTCACAAAACAAAAAGAGAATGAAATATCCTTCTGATTTTCAATTTCCGCTAAGAATTTTTCAGTATGCATAAACATTTGTATGAAATATAGTTCTGTTCATAGGAGAACTTATTAAATTTTCCATGATATATTTTCCATTTATATAGAAAAGGAAGCTAGAAGGATTTGATCATAAATCATACCATGTTTACTAAAGAAACAACAAAATGCACTCAGCAACTGGAATATGCAGTTACAGAGTTCCAAGGTGGTCAAAAGGAGAAGAGAGCACATATTTTTGCCTTCATGAACTGAAAATATTATCGTCTCTGAGATAGACAAAAAGAGGTTTAAGTATGTGACAAAACAGTGTATGCATACAATTGACCAACCTCAATCTTAAAGAAATATGTAAAACTGTTAAGAAATCGGAAAGTTGGGTGGACAAGGTTTGGAAAGTAATATAAATAACTAGATTAAATAAAGTTATAATTTCTAAATGATGATAGAAAGGGAAATCTAAAGGAGATGAGCTACAAGAAATCAGGGATATTATTTTGACAGAAAGCAAAGGGAAAACTTCTATTTCTTGCACAGTGGACTAAACATACTGAGCTATCCACCACTGAAAACAACCAAAAATTCTGGATGAAATTTGAATGTATCTTTTTAAAAAATGTAACATAAAACTAGCAAGAATGTAAGAGATTTGAATATCCCACACCTGAGTAGAAATAGGAAATCAAATAGAAAAAGAACACTGCACCTAGCTTGTTCCTTAAAGATATTTGCTGCAGCCAGAGCATGAGTTTTAGTTTTCACATCCTTGTGGTTCAGTGGAGACAGGTGACTATGCCCAGGTTAAGGAATATGAGACAAATAATCATCAGATTCAACATATGTGACAAATATGTGACAAAAATCTTTAGCAACTAGGAAGAGAAGACAGATTCCTTACTTAATATAAGAAGATCTGCAAAAGTCTGTATTAAACATTATACCTAATAGTGAGACATTGGGCACATTTGCTTTAAGATAAGAGAATTTAAAAGGACACCCACTATATTCAACTCTATATAACATTGTACTAGATGTCGTAGTCAGTGCAGTAAGACAGGAAAGCAATTTTAGAAATGAGAGAGAAGAAATAAAACTGTCACGAATTGCTGATGATACATGGGTTCACATAAAAAATTGTAAAGCGTCCACAGATTATTACAATTAATAAGAGAGTTTAGTAAGTTTATTGAATGCAAAGTACAAAATTCAATTGTATATCTCTATACAACAATGCATGTACAACAAATATATTCTAAAGTATATTATTTATATATTATAAAAGACAAAGTACTAAGGGTAAATCTATTACAACATTTGAAAAGCCTTAATGGAAGAAATTATAGAACTGTATTGAAAAATCTTACAGTAATCTCACATTAACAGAAAAATTAGAAGATTCAATATAATAAATATGTCAGTTCTCTTCAAGATAATTATAGATTCTGTATAATTCCAACAAATCCCCAATATTTTTTATGCGTATGCCTGAAGCTTGACAAGCTGATTCTAGAATGTATACAATAGAACAAAGGCCAAACGTAGCCATGATACACTTGGAAAAAAGGTATGAAGCTGGTAAAGTTGCCTCATCAATATTTGTTTTAAAGCTGTGGTAATTAAGACCATGGAATTGGTACAAAGATAGGAAAGGGACCAATGGAACAGAATAGAGAACCATGAAACACATACACATGGGTATATGACAAACCTGTACATACATACAATTGACATATATACCACATGGAGCTGACATAGCAGATCAGTGAGAGAAAGACTGGTTCTTAAATAAATGATACTGGAATGATTGGTCATCCACAAGGACAAATATAAAATTGAACATCTACCTACACCATACCAAAAAAATCAATTACTATTGCCTAAATATGAAAGGCAAAAATATAAAATATTTAGAAAGCAATAAAATAGAATGTTTTTATAAGCTAAGAGTGTGGGAGGATAACCTTAAACCAGACATAAAAAATCATTAATCTTAAAATATAAAATTGATAAATTCTGCTTTATTAAAATTAAGAATTTCTGGTCATCAAAAGCCCATAAAGACAGTGAAAAGAACCATAAGCTTGACGAAGGATTTGTATCTAGGATATATAAGAAACCCAAGCATTAATAGGAAAAAGAAGCAAAAGCCTAGTAAAGGCACTTTACACAAGAGGAAGTATGAATGGGGAATAAACACTTGAAAAACTGCTCAAGCTCATTAGTAGTTGGAAATGCAAGTTAAAACACCATGACATACAAATGAAACCCACTGAATTTACAGTTTACAAAGTCTGATAATATGAAGTGTTGGCATTTTTGAGCAACTAGAATGTGTGTAGAATGCAGATATAAGTGTATGGTGGTAAAAACCTATTTTGAAAAATAATTCAGCAGTTTCTAATAAACTTAAAATTTTCAAACTCTATGATCCAGGAAGTATGCGCTTAAACTTTTACACATGTGTACCATATGATACATACAAATTGTTCATTGTAGTATATCAGAATTGAAAAGATTTCTGGGAAAAAAAACCACAAATATCCATTGTGTTTTTAATGGGATAAACAAATGGTAGCATATTTACAAAAAGGAATACTATACAACAGTAGAGAAAAGAGAGACAGAGAGAGGGAGGGAGGGAGAGAGAGAATATGAATTAGAGCCATAGGAAACATTAATAAACTCAGAAAACTAACACTGAACAAAAATAATGTTCTGGAAAAATACTGGCAGTATAAATTCTTTCATGTAAATTAAATTGCAAAATCGAATGATAGATTGTATAAGGATAAAAATATATAAGATAAAACTAGAAAAAAAAAAGCTTCTACACAGCAAAAGGAACAGTCAGCAGAGTAAACAGACAACCCACAGAGTAGGAGAAAATCTTCACAATCTATACATCTGTTAAAGGACTAAAATCCAGAATCTACAAAGAACTCAAACAAATTAGCAAGAAAAAAACAATAATCCCATCAAAAAGTGGGCTAAGAATATGGATAAACAATTCTCTAAAGAAGATATACAAAGGACTAACAAACATAAGAATAAATGCTTAACATCACTAACTATCAGGGAACAGCAGTGAATCCAGGACGAAGGTTATCTCTAAAGGAGTAGAAAAGATATGTGACTTGGAAACAACACCCAGAAAATTAAAGTTAATAGTAAGGCACTATTTCTTAAATTGGGTGATAAGAACATGGCTTTAAATTATAGCATTATTCCTCATAACTTACTTATTTTATTCTGTATGTAATTTATAACTAATAAAGAATTTAAAAAGAAAATAAGGATGAAAATTGTAAATTATGTGTTGATAAATATTTACATCAGAGACAGTAGGTTTTTTTTTTTTTTTTTCTCTGAGACAGAGTCTCTCTCTGTTGCCCAAGGCTCACTGTAACTTCCGCCTCCCAGTTCAAGAGATTCTCCTGCCTCAGCCTCCGGAGTAGCTGGGATTACAGGTGCCTGTCACCCTGACTGACTAATTTTTGTATTTTTAGCAGTGACAGGGTTTCACCATGTTGGCCAGGCTGGTCTCCAACTTCTGACTTCAAGTGATCCTCTGACCTAGGCCTCCCAAAGTACTGGGATTACAGGTGTGAGCCACCTGGCTGGGCCCAGAGACATTAGGTTTTAGTGAACAAGTGGTTTTAGCAGATTGTGAACTGGTATATTTAAGAAAGGAGAGCATGTTATTGGGTTTGTAAGAAGATCATTAGAAACTCCATTTAGAGCTTCAAATCTGATTTGAGTGAGATATAATTTAGGGTTCTGAGTAGAGGAAAGACCCAAGAATGAACCATGAAGACAGTGACTCTTGTGTGACTTGGAATAAAGTACAGCCAAGATAGAGGATGTCTGAATGTTTTAGATGTGACACAGTTGTAGCCAAAAAAGCATGTAAAATAAAAACAGATTTCTACAAGTTTTTTAAGCTTTGTAATGATGGTAGAGGCACATGCCCATGAAAATATCATCAGACACCTTTTATGTATTTCTAGCTTAGACTTGATGACATAAAATGAACATGTAAAATTATTCTCATCAATAAATAAAAAGCTTGAGACTTAAGTCTATTGACAAAATATTGCAGCATTTATCTTGTTTTTAAAAATAATATACTGTCAGTGCTTCTGAAGACACACTTAGGAGCTTGACAGCATATTTGTAAGATGAAAAACCTTTCCTGAAATATTGTTATACTCAGTATTTCCACACAGTAGCCTCCCTTCAAAGATATTAAAAAACGCCGAAGAAAATACTTTGTCACTTGTAAACATTGAAGCGTGTTCAAATGCAGAATTT